ATATTAAGTGTGTCTGGTTCTCATGCATAATGTTATATGAAAAGAACGTGATCAATAAGAGGATACTGTAAGATAGTAATTTCAAAGTGGAATCATAAAATCCGCACCTATTACATATAGTAAATTGAATTTATTTTTAATTCGATTCCCATAAGTCATCATAAAGTAAGAAATGTAACACAAGCAAAACAAGTTTATTTCAGAAAAGTATGAAATATTGATTGGAGCAAAACAGCGATCGTTATCTGGATAAAATTTATCGCAAACTTACTGAAATAACAGCACCTAGGAAAAGACAAGTAAACCAATTACCATGTTTACCTCTTCTTCGTTCCTCCAAGCTAAATTTGGTTATAGTGGGGTCAGAAGAGGGGATGTCGAAAGAGGACAGTATTTATTACTCAGACCGTCAGCTGCCATTTTTCTTCGATGCTCGTCTATTCTTTTACCAAATTCGGAAATTTTATTTCCTCTGTTGGAAATGTGTAATTTGCATTAAGAGATTTCTATAGTTTGACAGATCTTTGGTTCGACAAACATAGCTGGAGATAGCAATTCGATTATTCTGTTGGATAGCTGTCACTATGCGGTTCCTTCATGTCATCTTAATGAACGGAGGCGGCATGGCCGTAATGTACTGTAATTGTTATACATAGACTACGTTTCTCTCTTTTTTTCACTGTTTCTGCCAAGCCATCTTTGCTTTGTTCTCTTCTCTTTCCTTAATTCGATAGCCTATTCAATTTTTTAATACCATAATAATTACATCATTCCTTTATCCGTATTATCGATTAATAATATATAGTACTTTATACAAATCTTATAACTGAAAATCGATTAGATATGAAGCAATAAATCATATGTTTTTCTAGAACGATGCTTAACTAGAGTTTCTATAACTTATTCTTAAATAATTACTGTTTAAAAATCGTTTTAACAAGTTAATTCTTTCTGAGATTAGCTTTAGTTATCATATTTTTAGCATAATATTATTCATATTTAGCTTCGATATTACTCAATTTAATTCTTATTACAATGTATCAATACAATTAAATTATTAAAATCAATTTAGCAATGTATTCAATAAAGGAAAAAATGAAATTTATAGTGGAATAAAATAAAAAAAAATCCTTAAAGATACATTCTTAAATTTTTGATTGATTCAATAACAGTAAAACAATTCAGTTGATATTGATACAGATATTAAAGTGGCCATTTAATTTAGCTTTGTCTTGATCCGTGTCTTGAAATATTTAAACTCCTGTGAAAGTAAAAAACAAAAAAGAAAATCGATCGAAATTTATTGTTGAAGCCATGTAGAAAAATATGACATTTCAAAAATTAATTAATTAAGTATTTTTCTATTGATGATTTATCAAAGGAATCTATTAATTATTTAAAATTCTTCTTTTTTCAGACAATTAAATATTTGCTAAATAGAAACACTTTAAAACAAAATAATAATAATAATAATATGGTTTATTTTATTAATTTTCGATAAAGAATATCTTAAATAATTAATTTTTTAAGTTGTTTAATAATAAATTCTATTCGAATAAAAATTGAGAAAACACTAAAAAGGATTATCGAAAGACATAAAAATTGAACAACAACTCTTTTATTTTTTTATTGTTCAACTAAAAAATCTATGGAATATTAAATAAAAGAACCACTTTAATTTTTTTAAAATAAACTTATATAAATTACTTTAAACGAAGATTTCAAGTATAAAAATTATATAAAATTTTATTAGAAGAGTTAAGTAATAAATAATCATTTAAAAACTTATTAACTAATTTATTAAAATTTTATTTTTAGAATTCAGAATATACTTTTTTATACAGTTTTTATTATAAAAAAAAGTGTCAAATAAACAGTTTTCCTATATTTTCTGAATTTTACAAAAGAAAAATATATTGTAATTTCTAAATTTTAGTACATTTCTGTCTAAATATTATATAAAATTTCAAAACAGAATATAAGTCTATGTAAAATTAAATTGATCTATACCGAAACAGATTTGAATATTCAAAATATAAAAATTAGATATAGAATTTTAGTAGAAAAGTTAAATAGTAAATAATAATAATAATAATTTAAAACTTTTTGAAATATAATTTAACTTTTGTAAAAGTTATTTTATTTATTTATTTTTCTAATAGTAAATTTGACAAAGTTTTATGGGATTTATTACTTAAAACTTACACGATCATGTTCCTTAAATAATTTATTTACTCTTAAATGTCTACTCGAACTCTTTCTACAAACTTTTATTTCGAAAACTTTTAAAATTTCTAAGTTAAAATCTTCGTGCAGGAAATTACAAGTGATCCTTAAAATTTTCCTGGAGTAGTTACAAACATACAAAAAAACAGGAACCAAGTTTATCTATGAAGATGTACAGTATATATAAAGTAGAGTACATAGAATTTAATCGTTTTAGACCTTTCTAAACATATTTATACATGAATAAAAGTGTCTAAACTCGCTTAATAATTGCCTCTTCTTAGTGATCGATATGCCCATATCATTAATTGAGAAATTATAATTTAAAAAAAATGAATGTAATTTTTTATGAGTTTTCTTTTGTTGATGAACTAACTATGACTAGGGCATAGGTGATGACCTGACATTAAAAATATAGCTTAAGAAAAATTCATTTTCAATACTTTAGTAAAACTAAAGTCATTTATTTCGAACACCAACTAATATCGACAAGAAAGACGTCTGGATAGAATGTTTGGTGTGATATATGAGGTCACAGCTCTGAGGTCTGCTAGTTAATTGCTCACTCTTTATATATTCTTATTTAAAGTCGATACGGTTTCCGTAACTTAGAATTTAAGGGATATTCGAGGAAGGATTTTTCAAGATTTATCTGGTAAAATATAGCTGGATGGAGTCACATTCGTATGTAAATTCAAAACTATAAATTAAAGAAAAGGATAAAAAATTTGAGATTTGTAATTTTGGAATATTTTTTATGATATAGATTAGTTTAATATGTATAATATATGAAGACTATTTTGACGATTCTATAATACTTAAGCTCATTTTATTGATTTATTTATCGAATAACTAAATAGACTTTTTTTAAAAAATAAACTTTCTTTTTAAACTGATGAAACGTTACTGTATTATTAACAGCAATTTTGATTATTGCTTTTTAATATGATCAAACTTTACTATATTATTAATAAAAATTCTAGCCTAATCGAAATTTATTATTCAATGTAAACAAAATAGTTATAAGTTTATAGCAGTTTCGCATTACTAAGAAGCGAGTTTGATCCAATAAGTGTTCCAAAATGTCACCTACGTTTTCTGCTACTGTTCTGTAACGTATATTTCACTTAGTATTGCTTTTGCGGAAGAAAACGTGATCCGTTGACTGAAGTGCCTTCAATCACCGAAATGGCTAGAACAGTGACGTTAGTACGAGTCGTGAAATCGGGTACAGTACATACTCCAAAATCTACGATTTAAAACCTTTTTCTTTCAGATAGACCAATTCTAAACTTAGGTCTACATATTCACTTGCCATTTCTTTAAGAATCTGTATCTAAATTCAAATAAATGCCACAAGCTCTATTATGATATTAAAAAGAAAAGAAAGATGTATTACTAAGGAAGAAATTTAATGCGAATGAAACGAGATTTACGAGTATATTGATCAATAATCAAAACTTTAACATAAAAATTTGATATTCCTATATCATCATCATCTGACTAATTATCTTAAGTGGCCAATTCACTTCAAGTTCTGACATGAGAAGCTTATTTTAATTATCGGCTGAAAGGACAACATATGCAATATAAACCCGTATAAATTATTATAGATATATCGAGAAAAATGATAAAAGTACTCAGAATCTTATTAAGAAGTTTCGAGATCTTATTCAGTAAATTTAAATCGGAAATTTTATTTCGTGAATACTTTAAAATCCACTCAAATTTCCACTTCGTTAATATAATTCAATTTTTAATATTTCTTAATATATAATATGAAAGATGAGAGGATAACTATACTACGTGCTCGAATTTTCAAGCATTCGATAGACAACAAGAACAGTTTATATGGCGTAAGTCTAATTAAAATGTAAAAATATTCAAAGATCCTCTAAAGTTCTTAACAACAAACATCTTCGGGACGAACCGAAATTAAAATATTACAAAACGAGTATATACTTAAAACCTTTTCGATCATAAAACTAAAATTATGGCCAAGTTATTCGCTTTTTTCATTACTTCGCACCAATAATTTTCTTTCTCACTAGCTAATGTCAATATGTCACTCTAAATATCCTATTATTGTCATTCTTTTCAAAACTTGAAGTTTATACGACCGACTCGAAAGATTAATATATCTCTTGCTTAAAAAAAAATACTAAAATGAGCCAACTATTGTTTAATATATGAAGCAGAATTAATAAGATATTTTAACAAACCATTTCTGAATGTTTAAAACTCTAGAATGTTTTGCATTTATTTAAAAAAAAAAAAAACGGAGAAAGTAATACAGTAGCAACAGAAGAAAGAAGGGGAAAAAATAACTGGATATGTTTGACTTCTCAAAAATTACACGAAATGAAATCGCTTAGAAAGACGACGAAATTGAAAAGAAATGTGGAGTACAACTTCTGAGAGATAGAATCACAACTAGAGAAAAACGATCAGAGATTGACCGTGTTCCCTATCCAAATTGCGAATGCCAATTTCTGATGCATTAGACCATCAATGTTGCCTTTCAGAAACCCAACGAGAAGTTTTTTCCAATAAGATTAAAGATCAGAGGGAAAAAAAGCAAACTTACTTCTACTTTTGAAAATTATTTCTCAAAATAAACTATTTCCCTGCCGAAAATCTGGAAACTTAATTGGTTTTCTAGTCACTGTTCATTTATTAGAAACAGGTTTAGAATTACAAAAATATCTTCTTAATATTTAATTCTACATATATATACTCGTATATATAGTTTTTTTTTTTTTTCTTCTTTTTCTTCTTACAAATTCGATCCTAGAAAACAAATAAATATATAAATCTTTATTAATTTTTTAATTGTGATTACTTTAAAATTAATCGGCTTAGATAAATACAATTAATTTTATTTTATTTTCTAACAAAATTAAATTAAATTTTATTAATAATTAAATGTATAAATTTCGAAAATATTGGATGAAAATATAACTCTATAAAGTTCATTTCTTAAATTAAAAAAGAATAAAAAATAAATTTTTATGTAATTTATAATATTTCTCATTTGTCAATAGAAAATAAGTAATGTCTGGTATGACGTTAATAACTTTATAGCCATTTTTAATTAACTTTCGACGAGATTCATAAAATAGTTTTTAACAAGTTGTTGCCTAATTTTTAATTAGGTTTCGACCTGTTGAAAGATATTTTATAAACTTCAAAAATATCGATCTTTTCAACTGTACTGTACTGTGCAAATGAATAAATTTCAGATAAGAAATAGGCCTATTTATTTGTATTCAATATAGATTCATGGAATAAAATATTAAATGATTTTGTAAGATTAATAATAAAAAATATACGAATAATACACGAAAAAAAATATGTGTTGACTGAGTTTTAATAATATTAATTATAATGAAATTTTAAATATTTAATTAACTTTAATTCTTGTGAAAAGTTCTCTATAATTCAAACTTTTTTATTCTTATTCATTTCTTTTTTTTTTTTGTTATTTTTTCATTTTAAATAAAAACAATTTTTGATTCTAACTAATTAAAATTTACGTTAATTAAATTTATTATTCTTTAAAACAATATAAAATTGTTTCTGTCAAATATCATTCTTTTAAGCTTATTATCTATTTAAATATTTTAAAAATATTATTCATAAAAAATAATATTTAACTAAATCTTTAAAAAGAAAAAAAAGATTAAATATTTCAAATAATATTAATTAAATTTTCTGATGTAATGTTTTAATAATTTATTTATTTTAAATATGAAATTTAATATTTTAATAGACTTTAAAAAAAAAATTTATCAACGATCTATTATAATAATGACAACTCGTTTAGATCATTGAGCTTTTTGTTAATATTTGTAATTAGAAAGTGCATCGTAGAGGATGGTACTACAGAAAAAATTGAACACCTGACCCATCTTAGACATCTGAGCAAGCCTGAGAATCCCGCCTTCTGCCCCCTCTCGATCTTCCTATGGGATATCTTTCCTTTGTTATAGCTTGCACATCACAATGGATCTCCTATCTATATTGTTGGTTCGTCGAACTCTGACAGACATATCGGAATAGTGCGAGTGAACGCAGTTCTGTAATGTACAGTAGCCCACGTGACTGGATAGCTATGCCATACTCATCAGGTGACGTGTGAGACAGTGCAGCTGCTGGTTCTACCACCCGGTGCTTGACATAATTACAGGCCACGAATGAAGTGAACTGTGCGACAACTAGTCTTTTGGTCTCGATACTTGGGTGATGGTTAAGCTGTCATGCTACTATTCTCACTTTCGATTTTTCTTTGAAAATATACAAAGATGGAGCGACACGATGTCATCTCATAATTAGATGTCGAGAAAGGACACAGTATATACACAAATTACGGTATTAACTTTCACAGTATGTCTACAGAATCACTCGAGTGGAAATGATAAAAGTTCAACAAATTTATAGAAGAATTTAAATATAATTCTATTTCAAACACAGTTTTTTTATATTCGTGTTCTGTTTTTTCTTTTCTTTGAAAAATAAATTTAAATTTTAAATGAATATAAACATATTGATTGATATACTTTTTTTTATTTATATTTAATCATTTCATTATCGAAAACAGAATGTTCTCTACATAGGAATTATTATTTTTTTTATCGATCTTTGCCAGTCGAGAAAGTAAGGACGGTTCCAATAACTATTCGTTAGCACAATAGAATGAGAAAAATGCAAGCTATCTAACTGGGAAAAAAGACAAACAACAAGCAAATCTGCATATCAAATCGACATTCTGCCACAAGGAGAAAAATGAACTTCGTTCTGTGGTTAAGAGATTGCTGAGTCGGCACAGCCTCTGGGAATCCCTCTACGCTGAAGAGGATGAGTACAAAACGCCTATCTAACTTATTCTTTTTCATTTAGCTTTAAAATCGGGATATATAAAAAAAGAGGGAAATGCGATAGTTACTATCAACACATTTTATTCGCTAATAGAAGATTGCGAACCAAGCAAATTTAGCCGAATCATAATTAAATTACAATAAAAACGCAATAAATAGGGTCATAAAATAGCCATTTCTAGATCATATCAAAAACACATTCGTTACAGACAATAAGAGCTTTTTTTTTTTACTTTATTAGAATATCGGAAACGAGTAGAAATTTTTCAAATTAATCCACTTTTAAATGCCGAATTTTAAGAAGCAAAATATAAAAGAAAAAGAGTGAAAACACACACTTAATTATAAAACTCTAGCAGTTAAAAGTAGTTCGTAGTCAAAAAGCTNTATTATTATTATTATACAGATCTATTAAATATTTTTAAACTATAAAAATATAAACAGTATTAAAAAATTTATCATTTTAAATCAATTAAAAAAGTATTTTCTTAACTAATTCTGTTTTAAGACTAAAAATAAAGTTAACCACAAAATAGCTTTATTGCGAAATTAGATTCATATGTCATGGGTTAACTAATGTCAAGAGCATCTTAATTAATTAATGTCATTAGTTGTGGCTAATTGATCTCAGTCTATTGATCTCCATTCCAAAATATTGATTCCTACACAGTTGCTAGTTAGAACTTTCTTTTCTCTATTCAACATATTTCATTTACAATCTCATTAATTCTCTTCTAATTCATTGACCTTTGCTATCTCTAACACAAAACTGTTGCAATTCTCTAAGCTACGAATTTTATTATTTCTATTAAGAAATTTCTATTTAATTAAGAAACTNTTTTAAATATGAAATTTAATATTTTAATAGACTTTAAAAAAAAAATTTATCAACGATCTATTATAATAATGACAACTCGTTTAGATCATTGAGCTTTTTGTTAATATTTGTAATTAGAAAGTGCATCGTAGAGGATGGTACTACAGAAAAAATTGAACACCTGACCCATCTTAGACATCTGAGCAAGCCTGAGAATCCCGCCTTCTGCCCCCTCTCGATCTTCCTATGGGATATCTTTCCTTTGTTATAGCTTGCACATCACAATGGATCTCCTATCTATATTGTTGGTTCGTCGAACTCTGACAGACATATCGGAATAGTGCGAGTGAACGCAGTTCTGTAATGTACAGTAGCCCACGTGACTGGATAGCTATGCCATACTCATCAGGTGACGTGTGAGACAGTGCAGCTGCTGGTTCTACCACCCGGTGCTTGACATAATTACAGGCCACGAATGAAGTGAACTGTGCGACAACTAGTCTTTTGGTCTCGATACTTGGGTGATGGTTAAGCTGTCATGCTACTATTCTCACTTTCGATTTTTCTTTGAAAATATACAAAGATGGAGCGACACGATGTCATCTCATAATTAGATGTCGAGAAAGGACACAGTATATACACAAATTACGGTATTAACTTTCACAGTATGTCTACAGAATCACTCGAGTGGAAATGATAAAAGTTCAACAAATTTATAGAAGAATTTAAATATAATTCTATTTCAAACACAGTTTTTTTATATTCGTGTTCTGTTTTTTCTTTTCTTTGAAAAATAAATTTAAATTTTAAATGAATATAAACATATTGATTGATATACTTTTTTTTATTTATATTTAATCATTTCATTATCGAAAACAGAATGTTCTCTACATAGGAATTATTATTTTTTTTATCGATCTTTGCCAGTCGAGAAAGTAAGGACGGTTCCAATAACTATTCGTTAGCACAATAGAATGAGAAAAATGCAAGCTATCTAACTGGGAAAAAAGACAAACAACAAGCAAATCTGCATATCAAATCGACATTCTGCCACAAGGAGAAAAATGAACTTCGTTCTGTGGTTAAGAGATTGCTGAGTCGGCACAGCCTCTGGGAATCCCTCTACGCTGAAGAGGATGAGTACAAAACGCCTATCTAACTTATTCTTTTTCATTTAGCTTTAAAATCGGGATATATAAAAAAAGAGGGAAATGCGATAGTTACTATCAACACATTTTATTCGCTAATAGAAGATTGCGAACCAAGCAAATTTAGCCGAATCATAATTAAATTACAATAAAAACGCAATAAATAGGGTCATAAAATAGCCATTTCTAGATCATATCAAAAACACATTCGTTACAGACAATAAGAGCTTTTTTTTTTTACTTTATTAGAATATCGGAAACGAGTAGAAATTTTTCAAATTAATCCACTTTTAAATGCCGAATTTTAAGAAGCAAAATATAAAAGAAAAAGAGTGAAAACACACACTTAATTATAAAACTCTAGCAGTTAAAAGTAGTTCGTAGTCAAAAAGCTGTTTGGCATCTCATCATCTCTTACGTAGATGAAGAATTTTCGAGGAAAATCTAATTAATTATTCTTAAGCAAACAATTGTCGAACATAAACACTTTGAAATTCGAAATTTCTGTCAACTGACTTTGCATCTGTCATACTTATATTTTTTCTTTCATTACTTGATAAAGCTGAACAAACAACTCTAGTCGGAAAATTTCTCGTTAAGCAAGCCAGCAATTAAAATCTCTCTTCTCAGTAATATCAATAATTATATTACATTGGCTTGGCTATAATACGTGTCACATATTCAAACGTGATTGTACCGCTTCTCCCTAGAGTAGCTAAGCGAACTTAATTTTATAAGGTGTCTGTCCCTAATTACAAAATGATGTTTCCTTATTAATTATAAGTAAAGGAAAAATGAGTAAGTACGAAAAAATAATGGAAATATAACAAATTTATCTTTTATAAAGCAAGCAATATTTCAATAAACGTGATGATAATAAATAATAATTTTGATGTTAATTTACAGAGTTCATAAAATTTATATGTATCTATATTTAAGCTTATATTC